AGAGAGAGAGAGAGAGAGAGAGAGAGAGAGAGAGAGAGAGAGAGAGAGAGTTGTGCGCCGCGGAAGGCTGGGTAGCATGAAAAACACAGGTTTACCTCTTCGAGTATGCAATGCGAATCTATGGATTTCATTAAGGAATGTGTGTGTTGATGACTTCGATTTGTGTGTCAATGGTTGCTCACGTACCAATGCTTTTCTTATCTTCTGTGTGGGATTCTCTTGTCGACTACGGGTGAATGCCCATCTAAATGTTGTGCACATAGTATCACGTACGGTGCCCGTCACGCTGTATCTCAAATCGTGGATGCGTTAATATCGCCTCCACCTGACAAAAAAAAAACAAAAAAAAAAAAAATGAAAAAAAAAAAAAAAAAAAAAAAAAAAAAAAAAAAAAAAAAGTGCGATGGCGATGTTGTTGCTGAAAGGACCGAAATATCCCGAGATGAACGTGTTTCTTTTTTTTCGGCATGCAAATCGCGTGTGGAACAACAACGCAACGTCGATCTACATTTGGAAATGCAAACAAGCGCAAACGAGATACATGACAGAAGTCTCATACATGAGGCAATAAAACAAACCCGTCGTTTAGAAGGACACAGCCAGACGCAAGAAGACGACCTCACACACAAGTCAAAAAGAAAAACACATTCTTGTGCTTGAGAAATCGATTCAGCGCTTCGAGAAGTGCTCGTGCACATCAACCAAAAATTTTTAAGCACATGGATCATGAACCCCGACACCTCTACAACCCTTAAAAAAAAAAAAAAAAAACATGGATAAGCAAGTGAACATAAACACCACACCGGGATCCTGCCCGCCTACCTCCCCCACCTGATGTGGCAGACTTGCGCACCGCCCTAACCAGCACCACCTACCACCACACCGCCACCATTCCCCCACCCCAAGCCCCTCAATCGCCGGAAACGTGGCAAAAAAGAAAGGTATGGTGAAACCAGTAAAGAAAAGACGTGACTCCAACGCGAGGAACAACGACAATCCTCGTCACTACAAGCATCCACCCCGATGATCGACGAACGAAACACCCTCGTTGTCATCGTCCACAATTACGAGGACGGCCAAACAAGCCGTCCTCGATGGAAGAAACGCCCAACACACGGCGATAGACGGCAGAATACCATCCGCGCGTGAAAGCCAACGAAGCGAGCACTCTGGTTCGACGACGGTGGGACAGGACATGAACATGGTACTTTCATCACAAAAAACAGCCTGGCCGTATCGCGGATTACGTGTGCTTCATTCACTCTGCTAGAGCGTTCCGTAGCGTGATCGCCTCGGTCGTGGAAGTGGAATTGTTGACTGGTTGCGGGGAAGATGAATCCCCAGATCCACTCGGCGCCACACCCCGTTCACGTCGACCTCCCATAGCAGATTCTCGTCGAACTCGATACCAACATCCAGGAGAATGTTGTGAAGTATGCAGATGGTCGTGAACTGGTGCGGCAGAGTGTCTAGGTTGGTCTTGTGCGTCCGCAGGAAGAGCCTCCACACTCAACCGCTCGAACGCCGTCTCCACAGCCCCGCTTGCAACCTTCTACGTCGTGTCGAACCTTTCCTCGTTAGGGGGCTGATTGATTCCGCCGTACGGCACCACTACCCATTCAGAAGGAGGGTACCCGTTGTCGCCCAAGATGTATCCGTTTATCCTCACCCCGCGCGGCAGCGTGACAAGTGGCCCATGAAACAATGTTCCCTCTTCCGCGCGCCGCGACAGACTAGACAGTTGGATCACCCTTATGTCATGGCAGCTCCTGGGATACCCAATGAACACGTCCAGAACGAGCAGATCCAAATCGACCACGACCTGCGCAACGACGGAGAAACGGTGTTTGTTGTCGAAGTAGTTCTCGTTGGGGGCGTTCGCCGGTTTGTCGACTTAGATGTGTGTGCAGTCGAAGTGTTGTGACAGTTGGGAAAGCCATTCTCCAAAAACGCCTAGAGCACGACGTGTTTCCGCACCCCCGTAGGCCAGGAAAGCTTGTCTGCGTAGACCCCCAACAACGCAAATGTGACATCGCGCATGGCGAGAAGTCTAGAAGCTCGCCCTATTCCGAAAGACGACGTGTTGTTGTCATATGTCTTCCCTTTAGCCCACCTGTACAACACGTACACGACGATCTGCTCTGGCTGCAGCGGCTCCCTGTAGACGTGACCTGTCGTTGTGGATGTGGAGCACAGGCTTCGCTGATCTCCATAAAAACTCGCATGAACATTCGGAGCTTTTCCCGAAAGTAGTCGTCAGTCGCGTCATCGCACACCCGCAAATCCACCCAAGTGCCTCGTGTTCTCCGCTTCATCCACCAACATGGCGTCCCCGAGGAAGCACACCACACCTGATTGCAGCGCACAGTTGAACCACGGCCTCCGATATGCTAATGCAGTCTGGGGCGTCCACCACCCTCTGCACCAGAAGCCCCTGGCGCCGCCTCGAAAGCGTCACCTTCATGCCCCCTGCCGCCCTCTCGACTTAGTTGCGGATCACCACAGCGAGCACAGCCGCCGTGACCGTTGTCTTCTCCGTCGTCGACAACACGACACAACAACCCTCGTCGCCACCCTCCATAGCGCCCTTCGTACTGGAAAATGAATGCCCGCCACCTACCGCCACCACCTA